GACTGAATTGCTTCCTTTCAGGACTGATTAAAACCCTAACTTTCCCTAGCATATCAGTTTCTTTTTAAGCTGTTCTCAGAGTTCTAAGGGGTTAGAGATCTACAGACAGCTACTGCTGTGTTGGCCAGTTGGTTTCAGATCAGAATTATTTTAGTTTTGTGCACATACACTGAGAATATAGATCATGCCTATATTGTTTTGATTGTGATTGGTGGTTCAAGTGCTGTTTTAAGACTTGACAGAAATGGAGTCTAAAATTCAGGCAGAAGGCAGCGTTGGGAACATCAGTTATGGTGGTATTTTTGAGATGGGTGGTCAGATTACGACCGTAAAGTTTGATGGATCAAACTATTTGGAATGGGCCCAATCAGCCATGATGGCTMTTGGTGGAAGAGGTAAATTAGGGTACCTCCTGGGAGATATGAAAGAACCTTCCAAGGGAGACCCGACATATACCAAGTGGCTGCAAGAAAACTACTTAGTTATGACATGGCTATGTAATTCTATGCAGCCTCATATTAGTCGGAATTATTTGTGGGCAAAGACAACTAAGGAGATATGGGATGTTATGAAAATAACTTACTCCCAACCCCTTAATGTTGTCAGAGCATATGAATTGAAATGTGAAGTGAACACACTTAAACAAGGAGAGAAACCGGTGTCGGTCTACTTCTCTACCTTGAAGTCCCTGTGGCATGAGATTGATCACTTAGAGACTCTTGAGTGGGAGAGTCCCAAAGATGCTCAGACCCATAGAAAGCACATTGAGACAAACAGAGTGTTTGAGTTCCTGGCAGGACTGAACTCATAATATGATATTGTGAGGCAACAGATTTTGACTAGAGACAGTGTGACTCTCTCTCAGGCTTACTCATTTGTACATAGTGAAGAGACCAGGAGGAAGGTTATGATGCAACCTCACACACCCACATCAGCCTTTGTAGCGGCTACACCCAAATCAGGGGGTGATTGGTACTGGCCGTGAAACGAATGGGATCTATCTGCTCGGGGAGCAGTTCCGTCAGGGAGAGTCAATAGAAAAGTTGTCTTTTGTTTCTCAGAGTGTGAGTCCGGTTATGCTTTGGCATAACCGATTAGGTCATTTGTCTTTTCGATCTTTACAAAATTTGTTTCCTACTTTATTTGAGTCTATTGAGTTGTCTTAGCCACAATGTGAAAGTTGTGAATTTGCTAAGCATTGTAGAAAGCCTTATTTATTGAGTAATAAAATGAGTGATAATTCTTTTGATATTATGCATATTGACATTTGGGGGCCTTATCATATTCCTTCCATGGGTGGTACAAATATTTTTTGTTATTTGTTGATGACCATACCCGTTTTTCTTGGGTTTATCTCATGCGTTCACGAGATGAGGTACCTTCCCTGACCCAAAATTTTCACCAAATGATYMTAACCYARTTTGRTGCCAAGATCAAAGTTCTCAGATCTGATAACGCAAAGGAATATTTTGCTAAATCATTGACATCTTATCTTCTTCATCATGGGGTTATCCACCAGAACTCTTGCCCTCATACACTTCAACAGATTGGAGTTGCCGAGAGGAAGAATAGGCACATTTTGGAAGTGGCTATAAGCCTCATGTTTACTTCTAATGTCCCTATTCGCTTCTGGGGGATGCTATCCTCACGGCGGTATACCTTATTAATCGGGTCCCTTCTAGGGTTCTTGATATGCGATCTCCTTTTTCCCTTTTACACCCACGTGAGTACTTGTTTTCTATTCCCCTTAAGACATTCGGTTGTACTTGCTTTGTTCAGCTTCTCGGACCCCATC